CCGCCATCTTGGTTGGGTTAATTTGCATATAGTTGCTCTGATTGGCTGGTGGGTGTGGCTTAAGGCATAGCAAAGGTACAGTTAATTTCCACGTTTGTCTTTTATTAGTGTAGACTAGAGGCCCAGTGCACTAAATTCGTGCAAGGGAGGGGGCGTCCCTCAGCCCGGCCTGCACCCTCTCGCAATCCAGGACCCGCTTGCTCCTAACCACTGGCCTACCTGCCTGCCTGCACACCCCTAACTGCCTCTGCCTGCCTGCCTGATTGCCCCTAACCACCTCTGCCTGCCTGATAGCCCTTAACCGCCTCTGCCTCGGCCACCACACCCGGGACCCAGGCTTCCCTCCTCCAGCTGGCCACAGGCACCCAGGACCTGGGCTTCCCTCCCTCTGGCTGGCCTCAGGCACCTGGGACCACTACCATGGGCAGCTTCCCTGCCTCTGGGTTCACCTTCTAAAATTGACTGTATGTGATAAGGAGAGACCTTATTAATATTTTTTAATTTTCTTTATTCCAACAGGAAAGGATAATTCCCCTAAAAATAAAAGAAATCACTCTCAGAAGCACATATATCAGATTAAGACTCATATATATTTTTATGAAAGACTTTTTGAGCCAACAATACTAACCTTAAGGTTGGATAAGCAGTTGTTGAGGAAAATGTGCCACCTGTTCAAGAACAGCTGCTTCTGACTGACACAGAGCAGACAGGTGACCAGGGGGTACAAGGCCTGAGGAAAAAGAAGACAACATCACCAGAGGATTATAGTCCAACCAACCAGGTAACACAAGTTCTCTGGAACCTCCTTATGTGGCCTGTATGGGCCAGAATACATAGGGTCCTTATAACACAGAGGTGGATATTTCACAAAGGCTTTCTGATGACAATGGGGATGAATAATCTAGTTACATATTGTGTACAAGTTTCATGTACAATAAGTAAAATCTGATTCATTGATTTCGTCTTCACTTCTGAATTTTAAACACAAACTCATTTCTTGGTGAGAGCATATTTTTTCCATTGAGTTTTAGAGACAGTGGAAGGGAGGAGAAGGGGGGGAGAGAGAGAGGAAGAGAGAGAGAGAGGAGAGAGAGAGAGAGAGAGAGAGAGAGAGAGAGAGACAGATATTGGTTGTTTCCCACATGCACCCAAACCAGCAACCTGCAACCCAAATATGTGCCCTAGACCAGAATTGAACTTGGGACCTCCCAGTCTGTGGGCAGACACACTAACACAGAGAAAATCGGGTTAGGGACAAACTCTCTTTTTTTAATCACTTTTAATCCTAAGAAGGGAAGGAGGAAGGCACACTAATTTTGAAAATGTTACTGGCTTTTTTGCTTATAAAGCATCTACTAGTTTGTCCCTGACTTAGAGGTAGGTGTATATATTTTCTTTTGCATGTTACCTTTCTGTAATTAAATAAGATTCCTAAAAGAAATGTTATTGCATTGGGAAACTCCACCAAGACAAATTTAACCACAGAAGGAATTTCTTATGACTGAAAAAACAGAGGTGCTACTGTGCTTTTCAAGCCTAAATGGGCCAGTTGACTGCAGCAGCTGAAGAAGACAGAAAAGCTAATGGGCAACCACCCAAGAAATATACATGCAGACCTGACACCACTTTGCTGACCCAGAGGCCATATATCTTTATGGCTCCCTCCGCTCCAAATTAAGGCTAGTGAAGATTTAAAAATAATATTACTGGCTTGTCCATAAATTTGAATTAGCAAAAAAGCAATTGCCACAATGAGATTCAGTGCTTAACAATTCATTAACTTATTTTTAATTTACTTTATTTTATTTTTTGTTATTAAAATAATCAAAGTTTTTTTTTCATTCCAACAATTTACTAAAAGTATGTGCACACATATACATGTTTATGCACATGGCTTAAATATAAAATCATTGTGGGATGTGAACTGGTGGGGGAATAATAATAGATTTCAATTTAAGATTTAACAAACTCAGAAGCAGTTGATTTTATATTGTAATTCTAGGTTCAATTAAGTTTCTGCTACCTCAATGTTTCTTTAAAAAAATATTTAAATCATTTTTTGTTTTTCAATTACAGTTGTCATACATTATATTAGTTTCAGGTGTATACCCAGTGGTTAGACATTATATATCTTTCTAAGTGATCAACCTGATAAATCTCATATCCATCTGATATCATACATAATTATTAGAATACTAGAGGCCCAGTGCACAAAATTTGTGCATGGGAGGGGGCGGGTCCCTCAGCCTGACCTGCACCCTCTCCAATCCGGGACCCCTCCGGGGATGTCCGACTGCCTCTCCCAATCCGGGACCACTGGCTTCTAACTGCCTGCCTGCCTGATCTCCTCTAACCCCTTTGCCTGCCTGCCTGACTGCGCCTAACTGCTCTCCTACCAGCCTGATTGCCCTAAACTGCTCCCCTGCTGGTCTGATCACCCCAAACCGCCTCTGCCTCACCCCACACCCAGGACCCAGGATTGCCTCCTTCAGCCGGTCTCAGGCACCCGGGACCCGGGCTTTCCTCCCACTGGCCGGCTGCAGGCACCCAGGACCCGGCTGCTTCGTTCGGGCAGGCCGCAGCTGCAGGGGACTGTGGGCAGGCACCTTCTTCTGGGATGAAGCCGCAGGTGCCCGTGACCATGGGGTGGGCAGCTTGTCCCTCTTCTGGGCTGCATGTGCAGGCACAGCCACGGGCACCCAGGACCATGGGGCAGGCGGCTTGTCCCTCTCCCAGGCCACACCCTGGCTGGTCTCCATTCCTCTCTCCCCAGTGTTGAGTGTCTGAGCTGTGACAGCATGAGGGCGTGATGACCATTTGCATATTAGCACTTTATTATATAGGATTGGCTATCTGTATGTCTTCTTTGGGAAGATGACTATTTGGGGTCCTATGCCTTTTTTTGGTTTTTAGTTAATCATCATTGAGGATATTTTTCCTATTGATTGTTGTTTTTTTTTTACAGAGAGTGGAAGGGAGGGGGGAAGGAGAGAGAAAGATAGGCAGAGAGACTTCAATATGAGAGAGACACATGGATTGGTTTCCTTCCACATGTGCCTCAACTAGGGCCAGGGATCTCCCAGGTACATGCCCTTGACTGAGAATTGAACTCGAGACTCTCCCATGCATGGTCTGATGCTCTAACCACTGAAATACATTGGCCAGGGCACTTTGCATTTTTAATTGGGTTGCTTGTTTGTTTGGTGTTGAGGCACACAAGATTTTTTATATATTTTACTCTTCTGTAACTACCAATTTGTACTTCTTAATCCCTTCACCTTTTCATCCATGCCCCCAACACCCTTCTCATCCAGCAACCATTGAAATGTTCTCTATCCATGAGTCTGATTCTGTTCTGTAAATTTATTTTGTTTTTTAGATTCATTTGTTGATAGATATGTATTTATTTATTTTTCTAAGTAATTTAAAAAATAGTTATTGTTGAGGGTATTACAGATATCCCCTCTTTCCCCCCACATTGTCCCCTCTGCCCAGTTCCTGCCCCACCCCAGGCCTTCACCACCCTACTGTCTGTGTCCATAGATAAGATCTTTGATTAATCTCTTCCCATCTTCCCCTCCTCCCTTCCCTTTGAGATTCATCAGTCTGTTCCATGCTTCCATGCCTTTGATTGTTTTATTCACCAGTTTATTTTGTTCATTAGATTTCTGTTCATTTATTTTGATTTTTAGATTCAATTGTTGATATGTATTTGTTGCCATTTTATTGTTCTTATTTTTTA